CACTCTCTTTGTGTTGCTTCCTTCACCTTGCAAATAAATAATGGAAGACGCAGAAAGGCAGCCGGGAGGGGAACCGGAGCCATCTTTCCCCAGCCAGCCAGGCAGGCAAGCAGCAACCTGGCCCCAGCCAGGGACGGATGCTGCTTGCTCGCTAGAACTACAGCCTATTCTTATCATCCGGCACACACGCACACACACACACGTATACAAACACAATCTCGGCCTCTTCTCCTCCGCACCTTTTGCAAGACAGACGGGCAGTCAAACACAGACACCAGTGCCCCCCTCTTCCTTCTCCCCCTCTCTTTAAGTCTTCCTAGCCCGCCATTCCGCCCCCCCCCGCACCATCAGCTAGAGGAAAAGGCTTCGGGGTGGAAAAAATGGGGCCAAGCAGGCGCGTGCAGAAATGAGCTCCGAGCCAGGCGAGGATTTGGAGTCGCTCGCACGAAAGGCTCCTATTTCCATTTCCGACACACACACAGAGAGAAAGAGAGACGCGCGCGGGGATGGGGGTGGGGGCTTGCTTTGTCTCGTCGGGATCTCAGAGATCGAGTAATTGAACATTGGTCACATCTCTGTAAGCTGTATAATCATTGCCAGGAAGATAGCTCAGTTCTCTCCCTCTCCTCGCCCCCCCCCCATCCCCGCGCCTCAAGCCTGTGCTAAGCTGGCGTCTGCAGCTGCTCTCGCTCGCTCGCTCGCTTGCACGCACAAAGCTGCGCCGGCTGCACAGCTTGAACTGGCGGGGCTAAAGCTCCCTCGGAAAAGAAGGCCAGGCCGCCATGGGCTCATGGAGGTGCCCGGCTCACCTCCACCTCCAACAGAACGTCTCCTGCTTGGCAGGACAACTGCGTCATAAGACGCACCCACCCCGACAGAAAAAATATGACCCTCTTCTTCTTCTTCTTCCTCTCTCTCTCTCTCTGTCTTTCTTTCTCCGCCTCCCTTCTGCCTTTCCGTCTAGGTCACAGCAGAAAGAGTTGAGGGGCAATCCTTTACTTCTCCCCCATTTTAAAAAAATCGAGCTATCTAAATCTCCATGCAATATTATGGTGGGAGCCAGGAGGAGAAAGTGGAAGTCACACAGAGTGGATTATTTCAGGACTAGAATCCTTAGGGCGGTTGTCTCCTCCCTCGTTCAAATACAAGATCTGTTTTCTTACATTAATAATAAATACTTCAAAACACCCGGATCACAAGCTAGCAGTCAGAGAGTAAGACGGTTTAGCGCAGATCAAAGGCAGCCTTTTCTAATATCGAGATCTATATATGAATTAATCGCTGCGTAATGGCCCCCAAAAGGACGTTGCAGCACTGCAAATGCAAAATGATGACCGTAAAGAATCACTGCAAATGTATTCAAACACTGGGGGTGCGGCATGTGGGCGCGCATGCACACAGGTTTGCCTTGCCTGTCTGTATATGTAATATACAGCATATTATATATCATTTATTTTTGTGCTTCACTATATGGTTTATTTTTGCTTTTGAGCGGTGGGGGTGTCTTCCCCTTTTCAGACCTGGCTTCAGAATAATTGCCAAATACCTTCACATCCACACTGTTTTCCTCAAGTGCAAACTGAAAACAAAACAAAAACCCCAAAAAACTCCTAAACTGTAATCCATGGGCTTCTGAGGATCCAAGCTGCAGACCACAGAGCACTTAGATCTACAATTACCCACACCTGGCTGTTGTGCTAATCCATATTTTTGCCATAAATGCAGCGATCATTTGCAACAGCTAAATTGGTGGTGGGGATGGAGGTGAAGGGGTTGGGCGGGCAAGGAAACAGGTTGCCAAGCACACCTGCACCTGCAGAGAAGGCAGCCTGGCCCCATTTGTGGTCAGCACAGGGAAGTCTCTGGTGTCTGTCAAAGATTATTTCCTGCCCCTACACCCAACTTCTAGCTTCATACAGTATTTGATGTTTATGATAAAGAACTGCCAACCCAGCTTTTAGAAACAACCAGTAGAAAGGGTCCTGAAGGCTTCCTAATTGGCCTGTTTTGGTGGAGGTTCCCGTACCTCATTTCCTAGGATGGTGAATTATTTTATTCCCCCCCTTTTTTTTTTACCTCCAGCCCAAGGCCAGAGAACAAAAATGCACAGGAAGCACCTCTCTTCCTTTATAATTTATAAAATGTTTCTTCAACCTGTTGTACCGTAGCTTTTTTTCACCCACTTCTTCCAGGTGTCTAAAACAGTAGCCTGAAATTTTATTTGGCATCTCTTACACAAAGTATGATTCTGTTCAGAGGGACTTAATCCTCACCTCCAAATTCCCAGGCAAAGGGAATTGGAGGATGCTTTCAACTCCTGCTGCATAACAAGAGGATCTGAAAATTAATTAAACAATCTATGCTATCTGATCGATTAGCTGATTGAGTTAAGATGAAATAGACCAAAGAAGGATAGCAATGCATATTCACCTTCTGTGAATTACATCTCTGTGAGGATGAAGGAAGTGAGGGTTGTGAAAGGAAGAGAAAAGAGGGGTGTCGTTGAGGTGGAAATTCTGCATGCCCCATTTTTTAAGATGGTCATATTTCTTCCTGCAGTAATTATTTCTCAATATTTCTTCCTCCAGTCTATGACAAAGAAATGATGTAAATAAATAATCATTACTGTTCGGCACATGCCAACCTGGGCCTTTGTACTGCAGGGAATATATTTCATGTAACGCATCCAGGAGAGTTTAGTGCTCAGAAAATATAGTTGTAATCAACTCTCATATAACAAGAAATCAAAGTTGTTATGGTGCAGCAGATAGATTTATTGATCTGATCTGATCTAATCTGATCTTATCCTAGGAGAGTTTATCTGTGGAAGGGTGTGTGTATGTGAAAGGAAAATGAGGAGGGCTTTCTTTCATGGAGTTTGCATGTATGTGTGTGGCAAACCCCAAAGCCAGGACTGTTTTCAAGGCCTTGTTGACTCATGGGGACAGCCTCTAAACTATTGCCAGGAAAAATAATGTCCCAAGTTCAACCGTGGCCTTGGTAGCAAGCTGGAGAAAGGTAAAAACTGAATCACTTCTAAGCTATTTAAAACATTGATCCTTCATCTTAAACACCACTGATTTGGATACAAGACTCACTTTACGGTAAGGGTTGGGTTACTGTGTTAAAGCCTGAGGGACGAGGTGGCTGAACATGGCTTTCCTATCCATCAAAATTTACTTTAAAAGTTGGATGACTTGGCGAAACACTTGTCATAAATTACCGTCTGGCTAGAGATCAAAACAAGATTAGGCCTAAGTAGAAATAGGTTTATATGGAATTTGAGAGAAAGGGGTCAGAGTAGGGTAGAGAGGAAGGGAGAAAGGCCTTACCCCTCAGTTTCAGTAACAATTCTGGGCACCCGCACTATATCCACTGAAACACTGGGAAATGTGTTTATTTCTCTTGTTCTCCTGTTGATTTCTCTTTAGTGTCAGTTGCTGCGGTCTTGATTAAAAGGTGCAGGATGTGCAATTAAATATATCGTCAGTCCCTGATGTGAAAAGACCCAACACAGTGTTTTTACCAAGTCATCCAAGGAAAGGCCAGGCCAGGATTTGAGAAAAGGGAAAAAACGGTGCCTCTTTGGAGGTCAGCCCTTTTTTAGCCCGGGGTCTTTGGTGGTGACTAAAGCAGCCCTGCCTTCTCTTCTTTCTTTCAGGCCTCTTTGGCCTCCTGAAAGCTGGATTTTTTCTGTCTCCAAGCCTTTGGCCAGTTTTTCATTCTAACTGCCCCCCCCACCCCTAGATGAATAAATGGGTTAACAAGAAAGCATGTGGGACTCCAGGAGGACCTTCCCAGTTAAATCACCCTGAAAAATGCCAACAGGGTCTCTTTCTCTCAATTGTGGAAACGAAACAAAACAAAAACATGCTTTGGCCTGAAAAGGCTGTAAGATAAAACACACCCAAATGTCTGTTCCGTAAATCTCCCATTTGTCTTAAGACCTGCGTTTGATCCTCTGCAAAGAATAGAACCCTCATCCTTCTTTCCTCCCACCCTCTTTGCCACGGCTGGCCACCACCACAACTACCCTTGAGCCGGGCTTGCATTTGCAGCCAGAAGGACGAGGGGGGGCAGTCATAGTCCACAGCTACCAACATCTCGCATCACAATGAGATCCCCCTGTCTAAATAAATTATCCAATGTTCAAATCGATATTAATACTACATTTGCTACAGTACAATACTGTGCAAATTTAAGAGCCATTTGACTACAATGTAAATACTATTCCTCATGCATGAAAGGCAACAAATATTGATGGATTCTACTTCCCAGCTAAAGGCCTCTCAGCTGCCTCCACCAGCTTTATTCCCGAAACCTTTGCCTATCATCTGGGCTCCCTGTTTACCGGACCAGAACCCTGAAGGGAAAATATATTTTTTCTGCCCAGAAAAGTTTCCCTCCCCCCCCCCTAAGGGGCTAGATTCTCTCTCATGCACCCAAGGAGTCCCAAAGACTACCGACAAACCTCCTTATTTTTCTTTCTAATTCTTTGCTCTTTGATGTTTATATATATCAGTAGAGAGGTTAAAAATAAATAAAAATAAAGGGTGTCTTGTATTCTTTTAGGCTCCAATTGGAGCACTTCAAAGTCAATATTAATGCACTCACCTACAAAGTTAATTTGAACCATCTATCATAAGCAAAATGGCTAACGTGCACGTTATCCACGCCTACCCTTAATTTGACATTTTTGGAGGCAATCTGTGACATTTCCCATTAATAGGCCTGGCTTTGGTTGTTTTTAAGAGGAAAACGAGAGGAAATGTGTCTCCAGGTTGGTCCAACCCTGAGGACGGATCTAGTTCTCTTTCTTTTAGTAGGGAGGAAAAAAGTCCTATTTTTGGCACTGGAACTGATCTGAGGGAGCCCCCAACTACCCCAGCAACTGCAAATATTAATGGTTTCCGATGGGGGGGAGGGAATCAGAGAGCAGAAGAGCAGCATTATTTATGATTCATTTGTGCTTCTGCCTTCCTTAGCTGTACAAGAGCTGCAGAGCAAACCTTTCAACAAGGCCTTAAAACACCTTCTTTCCTTGTTCTTCCTTCTCTCTCATACACACACATGACAGGAAAAGGTGTGCACGAGATTTAACCTTTCAGTCCAAACAGATGCAGACACAGGTACACGACCACAGACACACAGGTGGGAAGTCCCCGGGGGAAAAAGCAGTCTTCCACCAGGCAACACCTCAGCTTCACCAAAGTCATTCCAGGCCTACAGGAAGCTACCTCCAACCACATCCGCCTCTCTAACGCGGTGAACACAGGGGGACTGGGTCGGTGCTTTATCCTACAGGATCCCTTCTTCTGCCGAAGACGGAGGTCCTGCAGGAAGCTCTACAATTCGGCTTGCGTTGGGCACATAGATCTCCCCTAGTAGAATGTGGACAAGGATCCGGGAAGGGCGGGAAGGGCGGGTTGTCTCCATGGCAGGGGGTGTCCCTCCTGTTCTGAACTAACCCCGTGGGGAAAGGGGACAGGATAGGTTTGCCGCTCGGCTGTGGGTGCTGCTCTGGCCTGCCGCCGCCCGCCCGCGTTCTGTGCCCACCTCAACCTCACCCCCCCCAGCACTCCCCTGGGGGACTGACCTGACGTGAAGAGGACGATGGCTTTGAGGCAGCTGTACTCGGCGGAGTCGACGTGCAGCGCCTTCAGCTTCTCCACTTGCTCCTGGAAGATGCGGATGTGGTCCATGAAGGCCACCACGCGGTCGGCGGACATGGGCGAGGCGTGGAGGCCGGCGGCGGCCAGGAGCGGGGCCACGTGCAGGGGCATGGAGCACTGGGCGGCGTTGAGGACGAAGAGCTCGCTCCAGGTGAGGCGCAGCAGGGCCACCTGGTCGGTGATCTGCAGGTCCGGGAAGAAAGGGATGTTGCGGGCCCACTCGACGGCGCTGAAGAGCAGCCGCGCCGCCAGCTCGCAGATGTTCTCGATGCCCATGATGTTGTTGGGCTGCATGCACTGGCTCCCGTAGCGGGACGTCGGGTAAGGCTCGGCCCGCAGCAGCAGCGAGATGTAACCCGACAGGTAGCAGTGCCCGTTCAAGGGGTCGCCGTTGGTCAGCGCGTACTGGCCCGGGTTCGGCTGACTCGGAGGCATCCTTCCTCGCTGAACCGCTGACGAAAAGAGGGAGAGAGAGAGAAAAGGAGAGGAAATGTGCATCCAGCCGCTTTGGC